CGAGGATGGGTTACCACCCCCGGCTCAGACGCAAGGGTTTCCCCCTGCGCCCGGCCGCCGTCGTCGTCCTCACCTCCTGTTCCTCCTGTTCCTCCTCACCTAATGGGTCGGGCGAATCGTTTTCTGAAGAGCGCATAGGGGGGGGGTCCCGCTTGAGACTTCCCCACAGTTCACTCACACACGAGGTTCCCGCTTGATAGTTCCCCCACATTCAGGCTTCAGGAGCCCAAAAGTGACGACAGTCACAGGTTCGAGGATGACCCGCTCAGGTTAGAATTAGGAAGGGGGGGCCCCATAGGGGGAGGGCCCCCCGCCGGATATTTCCTCAATATTCAGGCTTTGGGAGCCCCAGAACTGACGACAATACAGGTTCGAGGATGACCCGCTCGGATTAAGAACATGAGGTGCGGGCCCCATAGAGAGATCCCGCCTGAGAATTACGCACACTTCACTCACAGACGAGGCTCCTGCCTGATACGTTCCCCATATTCCGGCTTCAGGAACCCAGAAGTGACGACGGTTACAAGTTAGAGTATGACCCGCTCGGATTTAAGAAAATTAAGTGCGGGCCCGATAGGGAGAGGGCTCCCGCCTGAGATCTCTTCGCAATTGACTCTCAGACGAAGTTCCCGCCTGATGCGTCCCCCATATTCAGGCTTCAGGAGCCCAAAAGTGCAGGTTCGAGGATGACCCGTTTGGATTTAAAACATGAAGTGCGGGTTCGATACGGAGAGGGTTCCCGCCTGAGACTTTTTCGCAATTCACTCACACACGAGGCTCTCGCCTGATATTTCCCCCATAGTCAACCTAGCGAATGAGTGGGTGAGTGAGTGAGTGACTGAATGAGTGAGGATGATGAAGAGAATGCAGATGATGAGTGAGTGGGTGAGTGACTGTGTGATCGAGTGATGGGCAAGGTGATCAAGATGGTCTGTGTGTGAGTGAATGTGAGTGTGAGTGAGTGTGCGAGTGATGACGGTGATGATTGTGATGGTGATAGTGACGGAGTGAGTGGGAGTGAGTGAGTGATTGATGGTGGTGATGCTACTGATGTTGATGATGATGTGGTGATGACCCTACTGATGCTGCTGGTGAGATGCGTGTACGTGCGAATCATGGCCGAGTGGATGGATGAGTGATGATGGGTGAGCGAGTGGGTGAGTGAGTGGGTGGTGATGGTGTAGTCTGCGCGGGGTGTCCAAAGAAAACAAGAGCCCCATTTTGGATGTGGGGAAAACCATGAAGTGCGGGCCCCATAGAGAGAGGGCTCCCTCCTGAGACCTCCTCGCAATTCACCCACAGACGAGGCTCCCGCCTGATACGTCCCCCCATATTCAGGCCTCAGGAGCCCCAAAGTGACGACAGCTACAGGTTCGAGGATGACCCGCTCGGATTAAAAACATGAAGTGCGGGCCCGATAGGGAGAGGGCTCCCGCCTGAGTCTTCTTCGCATTTCACTCGCAGACGAGCCTCCCGCATGATATTTCCCCCATATTCAAGCTAGCGAATGAGTGGGTGAGTGAGTGAGTGAGTGAATGATTGAATAAGTGATGGTGATGATGACGATGAGGATGATGCAGATGACGAGTGTGTGGATGAGTGAGGGGGTGATCGAGTGGTGGTCAAGATGATCAAGAGGGTCTGGGTGTGGGTGATTGTGAGTGTGAGCGAATGTGTGTTCCTATGTGTTCCTGCGCGGGGTGCCCAGAGAACACAAGAACCCCATTCTGGATGAGGGGAAAAAAGATGGCGATTGACAGCTTGCTTGACGACTAGTCGGCGTAAGCTCCCTGCAGTCTTCAATCTTCAATCTCCAAGCAAATGTGCATTTTTCAAAGAGGCTGCCAACATATAGTTTTATAATGTTTTGGATATCATCCTCCTCCTGCTGTTCAATCGCCTCCATCCCCTCTGATACTCCCGACTGCCTTCCGCGCTGGTGGAGGATGAAGAACAAGAACAGACAGATCATGAGGAAAAGGAGGAGGAGGAGAAGGAGGTGCAAGGCGGAGAAGGAGGAGGAGGAGGAGGAGGAAGAAGAGGAGAAGAAGCAGCAGCAGCAGCAGAGATGATGATGCGGAGGAGTATACGGTCAAGCGCCTGTTTGAAGAGTCCTGGGCGTAATCTCACTGAGATCTTCAATCTTCGATCTTCAAACAGAAATGTCTCCCTCAAGCAGGTCGGCAAGCGCCTGTGTTGCATAATGCTGGTTAGATAGGTCCGCTGAGATCTTCAATCTGCAACGTCAATTTCCAAGCATATAGAAGATGGGTTCTAGAACGTTTGAACGCAGCATTTCAAAACGTTTCAGAACATCCCTGTCCTACTTGGCTTTCTTTTTCATCCTCTCTCATCCTCCCGGATGCCCTCCAGAGCAGGGTGAAGGAGGTGCATTTTGGACGAGGAGGTGGAGGAGAAGGAAGGAGGAGGAGCAGGAGGAGGTGGAACCGCAGCAGCGGGGAGGATAAGGGAGGAGGAGGAAGAGGAAGAGGACCAGGAGCAGGGACACGCCCTCGGGAGCGCCGTCAAGCGCATGTTTGAAAGATTCCGGGCAGAAGCGCACTCATACCGTCAATCTTCAAGCGGATGTATGCTCTTCACAGAGGTTGCCAACAGGTCGCCACCTTCCGTAAACAGATTGGCTCAAGGATTCCACTTGCAGGCCGGTCGCTAGCTCCGGGCCGATGTGCTCCATTCGCCAGGGAAGGGCTGAGGTCGTCGGCGGGCGCGCGAGGCTGGAAGTACAGATCGATGACGCCACGAGCGGTCCACGCGAGCAGGTCCCCCAGCCTCCCACTGCGGACGCAGTGCGCGCCAGGATGGCCTCGGAACGTGCCATCGCGCACGTTGCTCGCCTCCCGCTGCTGAGCCGCGACGTGCGCCAGGTCATTTGGCAACGTTCAGCGACGGTTGCCAGGGCAGCACGGGCCTGACGGGGCAGATCCCTTGTGGACGCTGCGCTGTGGGAGTCGGATACCGCGCCCACAGAAGAGGACACCGATGTCTTCCTTATGGACGAAAGCGAAGAAGAGGAGAGCGATGAGGAAGCGGATGGTGTTTACGGTTTCAGGTCCATTGACAAGAGCACCGCCGCCCCCGACGATGGCGACGATTTGTCCGAGCTTGCCACGACGACAGCGCCGACCCAGACGGTGGCGACTCGCTGCTGGATCTTGTTTCGGAGTTGGTCGATGACAACAGCGAGCCCTGCGCATTCTGGTTCACCGCCCTGGTCGTCGCGCCGCTTCCGCCCTGGGTCAACACCTGGGCTTGCTTCGTGAGCCAAGCTGCAGCGCAGGTGGCCAGCTGCGGCGGCAGCAGCGCCAGTCGCAACTTACGGCGTCAAACCACGAGAGAACAGCGCGCGCAAGGAAAGACACGGATTGTCTTACAACGGATATGGACCAGCTAGCGCATATTTCAAGGTGGGCGTCGCCAGTTTGGAGCAGCCCGCCTACGTGTTCGTCGCAAAACCGAACTAGGAACGGCCAAGGAGTATCTCAAGGGCGCGGGCGTTCTTCCACAACCTGATGGTGAATTCCAGTTCGCCTGCTGGTCCTGCACGAACCCGATGGCGGAATCGGGGGGCGGCTGTCGCTGCGCGCGCACTGCCTGCAAGGGCAGGCCTCGCGCGAAAAGTTCAAACGCGGCGTGTGCCCCGCTTGGTGGCCGGGCGAGTTCTGGTCGGGGTGTCGACTGCGTCATGTGCTCGCGCGCGACATGCGCAGTCGGTTGGAAGATCCCGACGACTCCCGCGCCCATTACGTCTGGCGCGAGGGCGACAACGCCAGGACTGCGGAGAACAAGGTGTCCCAGTTCTTTAGCTATCGCAAGATTGCGATGGCAGATTCGGAAGTGCATCGGGCCGGGTCCACGACGTTCGATGATGACGTGGTCGAGCCAGATGCATGCCGCGCAGGTTCGCGCAAGGGAATGGCGTCGGCTTCCACAAGGGCGCACCAGGGGCGCACTCTTGGAAGCGGCGGCATAATTAGCAGCGGGCCGCGCGCGAGCTCCAGGACAGGGGGGCGAAGAAGGGCGGAGGTGGAGGCGGCCCAGAGACCAGAGGCGCCACGGTCGCGCCCGACTGCGGTTGGACCTTTCGCGGCGCGGCCCAAGCCGCTGTTCGCCCAATCTTCAAGGGTGTGAACCATGTGGAGACGATCTTCACGCCCGCCTGCAAGTTGCTCAAGTCCGAGCCGGATGCCAAGACCGCCCGCGTGCTGAGGGCGCGCACGAGGGGCAATAAACCCTCCGCCAGGGAGACCGCGCTCGACTTCATTCTGTCAGCAGGTGACACCTCGGCAGACGGCACCTGGAGAACGCAACGCGAAGGCTGGGCAACGTCGGCCGCAACGCCTCGCCAGCCACCCGCAAGAGGAACGCCCAATCTTCGGCGTCGGCGGCTTCGCTCTGCCGAGCAGGCAGGCTTGGACTCAGCTTCAGGCGCGCTGAAGTTGCGTGGGATCACTCTGTCCCGTGGCGGCATCAATATGTCGCCCAAGGACGCCCCCAACGCCTGGAGCTGCAGCTCGTGGGCGTGCAGTTCGCCTTCATTGAGCTGCTCTCGTAGATGAGAGACAAGCCCAGCGTTGCGACTGCATGGGGTGAGCAACGCAAGCGTGGCAGTGACAAACTGTCATCGTGCATCATCGTCGCCATCCACCTTCATTCATTTTGCGATTGTTTGCAGATGTCTTAAGTTTGCAACCGGTCCCGTGTGGCCACAGGCAAACGATAGGTTTTGGGCCGTTATCGCAGTAGTGGCAAAAGTGGAGGCAGTTGCTGACGAACAAACGTATAGCTAAATATGTAAACACGCACACACACACGCACGCACGCACAAAGACGCACACGCACACACGCACACACACACACACACACGTGCGTACATACTCACACGCACACATTCACACACAGTCACACACACACCAGCACACGCACACTTGAAACATAATAACACAAATATGAGTGAGGATGCTCGTGGATTCGCAATGGAGGCAGCTGCTGACGCGGGCCGGCGGCGACGAGGGTAGCGACGCGAAGCAGGCGAACATGGAGGAGCTCGCGAGCGGGAGATACCGAAGCCACTGCGCTTGCCTCTTTTTCGCCTTTTCGGGCGCTCTGGCAGGCCCTCATCGCCAGCAGTGAATTCGCTTAGAAATGCTTGCCAAAACGCACCCCGCGGGAGGTCTGGGGAGCGGCGGTATCGGCACTTGCCGAAGAAAAACTATGGCTGAAACGCAAATGTTCATAGCTCCGCGCGGAGTTTTCTGATCTGCGCCGGGACCCCCTGGCGGCGCCACCAAGAAATCCGCGCGGACCTCCGCATGTGCGTATTTATGTCAGCTTCTGATCATCTATAGGTATCGATCGATACTGCTTCCCATGCCTCGTCGTCACTGTTGGGTTCGCCGCAGAATTCTGGCCAGAACGCACCCCAAGAGAGGTCCCTAGAAATGCGGCCTTTCATTGTTTCCAACATTGGCCCCCCAGAACTCCCCCTCCATTCCCCGGGGCCGGCTTTTCATCGCGAGTCGTTTTTGGACGGTTCGCGGAGGCCGAACCTGATTTCTTTTTGGCGCGAGTATGTGCGGGCGTGGGGAGAGCCTGTGCTCGCATCTCCAAGGGCGCTCCCGACGACGCGAAGTTCTTCGCGCTTCGCGTCTCGCGGTTCGGTTCCGATTCGTCCTCGTCCTTTTCTTTTCCCGTAGAGGGCGGCGCGAGAGCGCGAAATTATTCGCGCAGCGCGAAGCACGAAGTTCGGCTTAAGTTGGGGCTGTCCCTCTACAGGAGATACAAACATAGCCAAACATGATATGGATACGATTTTGTGTTTGTAAAACAGGTTGAGAATTGTTGGGGCATTTCTGGCATATTTTAATGTGTCGCCCCAGATCCGCCTACAGGGGGGCATGCCCGACCTAAAGTTAGGCGCCCTTGGGACAAGGCAGCAGCGCGCGCCCCTGCGGAACACCTGAGCGCGGTGCCACCGAAGCGCTGCCCAGGCAAGTGGCCGCGAGGGGAAGGCCCGAAAGCC